AACTGCTTCATTGTCACTGCATAATAATGAAACCCCAGCCAGATTGGTGTGCGTTTAAAATGATCTGGTTTGGTTTTCCTTCTCTTTGAACTGTTTTATCCAGAAAGTTGATCTTAAGCGTTGGCTTTAATGTAGAATACACTAATATCCTGGAGAAGAGTAGTTTTCTAATTTGAATTAGTCCTTGTTTTCTATCAATAGAATACCTAAAAATTCTTAAAACAATATAAAATACAAATATTAGTAATTAAGTCTTGTTTTTAAAAGCATCTGGGGTATGTTATATTTTTCTCTTTTTTCTAGCTTATTTAAAACTAGTATTGAAAAGAAGTTTTACATTAATGTTTTTAAGTTGCTTCTTGAACATATGTTTACATATTTTAACTGGAAAATTAGATTTTTCCTGCTGTGTAAAGGGAATTAAAATGCCGGTAACTCAAGAATCGAGTGCTAAATTTTATACATTTAAATTGGCAGCGACAGCACAACGACAAAGGACACTAATGTATGTACACTTGCTATTATTATTGTATAAACAATTTTTAAATATTCAAGTAGCGGTCAGGTAGCAGCCACTCACGGAAAAGCCTCTTTTTCATATATCAAAGCAACAGAGATCAATGTACCGGGCAGCTGAACTTCAGAGCAAAGTGAAACATCTGGAGAATAAATCGTTTGAATGGAGCAGATTAGAGAGTAGCAATATTTACTTTGGAGCGTTGAAAATGGCTTCACCGTGCCCTGGATGAAACTGGCACGGACATGCAAGCTTGCAGCTCATTACCGGATGACTGAGCGACATCTGGTTATTTAAAACCGAACTTTAGTCCTAAAGGTTTTTAAAAGCCTTGACTATTTTCCGTGCCGGCTGTCTAGGCGTGTTGGGAAACAGGTAATAAATTCCGTGGAGAGTTTGAGGTGGACCGGAGACGAGATGGAGTGACAGTGAATGTAATGAAGGTGGATGAAAAGGTGCTGCTCCAAATTTCAGTCTGAGTTGGTGGGCAGTTTCCCAGTATTCACCACAGTCAGTCATAGTTTACTTTTCCAATACGAAGACTTTTGGGAAGCATCAGAAATACTTATGTTTAAAATAATGGTGCTTTGTGACACACTCACTATTTTAAATAAGAAATTTCATCAATGACAATATGATAAGGTGCCATTTCCACTTCTGTTTTCATGTCCAACCACTATACTGCAGTTGTTTACTGCAATAAATAACAGCTGGAGCAGATGTTAAAATTCACATTCATCACCTTCTTCTTATTGAATTTACATAATTAGTAAAAACCTTCCTTTCAAAGTGTCATTTAACAGCAGTGAGGCAAACAGAAGCAGTTCTGGAAGCAAAAGCAGTGATTTTTACTAAACATCACTCCAGCCATATAAGTTGATAAAGCTGTCACAAACAAACAAGCTCTCACTGTTTTTTTTTTTCTTTTCCAAGTCTTACGTGCTGACAGCTGAATCCAAACTGTTACATAACGAATAACATATAAATGCATCATTCATTCAACATCCTTACATGTTCTAATTAAGACAATTATGAGATCATTTCAATTACGTTACCTTGTGCCAGAGACACAACAAAGACGGTAGACAGCACCAATGTCACGACTGTGAAGTCCCACATAGTGCCACAGCCACTGATGGGCAGCTGTTGGTAACAAATAATAAATTAAAGACAGACACCAAAAAAAAATTTCTTGAGTGGCTTGACCAATGAATTTGTTTCCCTCGTCCTTCAAAATAAAGTCTGGTCGTTTCGTGAACTTCCCAGAGTTTTAAAAGACAGGATGGAGTGGAGAGTGGTCCAGGCCAGCCCCCTCCTGCTCACCATTGGCTATTGCGCTAGCATCTGTGTTCTTATATCATTCCAACAGACAAAAAAGAACACAGATGTAGGAGAAAGGTGAATGTTGCATCAGAAAAATGTCATGTTTGTGTTTTTAATCAAGATGTCTTCTTGGGTGTTTGGGCAGGACAATAAATCACATTTTGTGTTTCATATGCTCTGGTCCAGCACGTTACATCATTTCAGCCACAAATGAAGATGTAAATGTGATGACAGCAGATTAATTTAATTTTTAAAAATCTGTTTATTTCACAATGGATTTTTCTTATTTTACTCGCATCCAACTATGTTGGGCATTGCAGGAATGTTCGTCCAACATTCAGAGACTCAACAGACAGTAAAATTACTCTAATGTGACGCACCTGTTGCGTACAAAGGGATTTGTAAACAGTCAAAAGGTTTCAAATTTGGTACTGATCCATAATAACTATTTCACATTGTTCGAAGGTGAAGTGTGTCATTTTTTCTTTCTTTAAAGGAACAGTTCATCCAAAACTAAAAATGTACTCACCCTCAGGCCATCCAAAATATAGATTAGTTTATTTAATCAGAACAGATATGGAGAAATTTAGAATGACATCACTTGCTCATCAATGGATCCTCTGCAGTGAATGGGTGCCGTCAGAATGAGAGTCCAAACAGCTGATAAAAACATCACAGAAATCAACAACTCCAGTCCATCAATTGTGAAACGAAAAGGTGCATGTAATAAAGTCCTCTATCTATAATATTGCTTTCTCCAGTGAAAAAGTCATCTCATCTGAATCAGGAGAGAAATATGCACAGATCAAGCACCGTTTACAGGTGAAAAACGGTCCAAAACTGTTGAACAGTTGATTCCAAAACAGAATGTTGTTCATATTTTGGCCAGAAGCGACAGTTTGAAGTGATGGATTTGTTTCTTACAAACACACAAATTTTCGCTTCACAAGGCATTAATTGATGCTCTGGAGTCATGTTGATTACTTGTGGATTATTGTGATGTTTTTATCAGCTGTTTGGACTCTCATTCTGACGGCACCCATTCACTGCAGAGGATCCATTGATGAGCAAGTGATGTAAAGCTAAATTTCTCCAAATCTGTTCCCATGAAGAAACAAACTCATCTACATCTTGGATGACCTGAGAATGCGTACATTTTCATATTTGAGTGAACTATTCCTTTAAGAGTATGTTAGATGACAGCAAAGATAATCTAAATGTAAAAACAGGACTGATAATAATAAACTTCAAAAAAGTCTACAAAATGGCAGATATGGGATTGATATTGTGCATCCTTTTTTAATGTCATTTTCAACTGTGTTTGATGAAGGACGAATATTGTATAACCAGAGTGCCGAACTAAAAGCTTATTGTTAAAGTGCAAATTTTGAAGTCTAACTCATGGTTCATTAGCATAGGTAATTGTGTTTAACCAGGTGTAAATACTTTCCATGCATGCTACATGTACAGTCCTGTTCCACTGTCTAGGATCATGCATGACCAGCACATCCGTGATGGGGAGATGCGTTCACTCGCCAATCCATGGTGTCGTCCAACATTTAGAGTCATTTTTACACAGCTGTTTTGAAAGCATTGACAAGCACAGCAAATATTTCACTAAAGGAGTCTGGAAAAAAATGAGGATCAGAAGTCAGAAAGCATGTAGATTACAGGGAATTGTCGTAACAAAACAGAATAAACGGCCAAATTTGCAAAGAAAAGCACAGACCAAAATATTTCCCCCAATTCATTGGCAGTCTAAACAGATGTTCATATTTTCCTTTGTCACCATATTGAGTGCATATGGCTTCCTTTGCCTTTTTACCTTTGTGAAGCTCTCCATGTGTGTTTAAAGACAATAAACATACTTTTTGGCCTTCAGTGTGGTGGACAGAAATCTAAAATGTTTATTGGCGGACTAAGAAATATGATCTCCGGATGAGTTCATGTCCACCTTTTGATGAATATTTTTGTTTTTTGATGAATATTTTTTGAATATTATTGTTTACACAATGTCCTGAAATGGCCTATAATGCATTAGCGATAAATCATTACACTGCTGCTTCGGTATTCCTGTCCACACTCTAACTGTTGTTGCTTTAGACAGAAACTTTCCTTTATATCACCCACGCCTTTTCCTGACTTTTGAATAAATCTCTGGGAAGAAATAATATACTGTATGGTCTAAAGAATATCGTAGCTACCTCTTGTTCCAAAATATTGGCTCATGGAGCACATTTTCCAAGGTTTGGCTAAATAATAACATCCGTGGGTTTTCAACATCCAATGTTACTTCAAACACCCAACTTTAGCATCTAAATGAATAAACTCGGTTTTTACATACATAATTTATTCATTCGACCTATAAGAACTAAGAAAACTCATGTACATTGAGCAATGTATAGTAAAAACAAAATGATTTACATATATGTTTGTCATCCTGGGATTATTTTATACTGTACAACCTTTCCAAAAAAGTACAGATGAATAAATTTGTAATTGGCGTAAAAGTCCAGCAGAAAAGCATTGGGTTTGTAGGTGTCGTGCACATTAGACTGGAGGCACTATCAGGGTAATGCACTTTGAATTTATCTAACATTAAAAAGACTAATGTATTTTTTAAAAATTGCGATTTTGAGAACTCAACAGTTAGACAAAAATTTGCAAAATTTAATAAATAATTCTAAACCCATCTCTTAGGACTGTAAGCTTGTTTCCATCACAAGATTTAAAAAAAAAGGTAATTGTGACTTTTCATCTCACAATTCAGACTTTTTTCTAGTAATTCTGAGAAAAAAGTGAGAATTATGAGATATAAAAATAGAATTTTGTTTATAACTCGCAATTGTGAGATATAAAGTCACAATTCTGAATTGTGAGATTCATTTGCAATTACCTTGTTTTTTCATGACCATTGCAAACTGCAAAATAATGAAACAGGTTTTCTGAACACTCAAACAACAAAATTTAGTAAGTAATCATGTAAAAATGAAAATTTTTTTAGGATGCTAGGAACAAATGTAGCCGACTTTACAGTGCATATGCTTAGCTGCCAAGAGTTACACAAATGATGTTCAGTGTGTAAAAATAGACACTTCAGATTTTATTTGGTTGTTCTGTTAGCAGTTTTCTTGAGTGCGCTGATGAATGCTAATGAGCATTTTTATGTCTTGATAAGCGGAGTATGACAAAAATAATCAAAACCTCTGAACAGATTGAGACCTTTTTCATGAAACATGTTTTCTTTTCCAAGCAACTAGCTACTGTATTTACTCAATGTAACTCAATGTTTTCGTTGTGGCACTGCACACTAAAGACACCATGGGTAGAATTTCTCTAAAACATCAGGCTGTGTGTTTAATGAGCAAATACCTGAGGGTATGTCCACACTAACAATGGGTATTTTGGCCTGTTTGAGAGTCACCAGCATCCCAGCGTAGGGCTCTTTAACCTCCTTGTGCTCGGTTTCTGGTCCCAGGATGGCATCGATCACCAGATTGTAGGCGTCATTTAACAGCTGGACCTGGTCGTGGGGTCAGACGGGACTCGATTAGGATTGACAGATGTCCAGAAGAGGGAACATCCCATTGACATCTCTCTGATGGTGGGCTGAGCTTCATTATTCAAGACTGACACCTACCTCTGTCGGAAGATAGGACAGGAAAGGGATGTCCATTTTCTCACACTGAACAGTGAAGTCCTGGTGCAAACTCTGAGGAGAACGCTTGGGATAGAAAATGGTGGGCTCATATTCCTACATTAAAGAGAGATGAGGTAGATGATTAACGCATTGCCAATTTTTACCATGTCTCCGTTTATTTTTCTTCCAGTTTGAGATTTTCGGTCTTAAGTTATGAAAATCCTTTATGAAAATATGAAATATTGCATGTTGAAAACTATGAACAAAGTGTGAAATAAACCATTTAAAATTTAGTGTGTACTTATGTATTTTTTTTTTTAAATATGTCCTTTATTGTGAAAAACAGATATGAAAATGTGTTGCATGATTGCCATACATGAACCAGACAGTTCATGCTTAGTGTCCACAAAAGCTTTCTGTTTTTAAAGCAGTATTTTGTCCCCCTGTGGATATGCAGGGGGATTTTTGAGTTTATAAATCACATAACATAATTACCTCATAATTTAATTTCAGAAGAACACTAGAAGTGATTAAAGTGGACTAAAATGTATGGTTCTGAACATCTCGTTTGCTCGGGATACAGTCTGGATAAGTTGCCGGTTAAGTTCATTACAATCCTGCAGTTAAACTTAATGTATTTCTTACATAACGTTGGTACGGACACAAGAATCCATGCAGATGTACAGCGGGAATGTATAAAACAGCTGTCATCATGTGATGACCCTCTATTGTTCATTTTTTTCCCCCTCAGAGGTTTTTTATTTGTTTCAAGAATCTCATATTGTAAACTGGCCAAATCTGGACTGGCCAAACTTCACTCCATCAGAACGAAAAGAAGGATAACTTTAACAGAGTGTACGTTTATTAATAAGACGAATACTGATGCTCCATAAATCTAGCATCACAGAGGAGCATGGTGGATCATATTTTCTTATTGTTTACTTTTTTTAATGATAAAATCAGGAAATGGAAATGTTCATAAGTTCATAAATAAATAAAAAGGTAATTGCGACTTTTTGTCTCACAATTCAGATTTACATAATTGTATTCCGTGGTGGAATAACAAATGAGATGCAATGTTTCTTTCAATAAAGATAAAACTCAATAAAGTCAACATAAAAAGCATTCCCACACCCATTTTACTTTTGTAATGTGACGTATTTCTGACTGAAACAGTATATTCAATGACAAGCATTAAGGGGAGGGCTTGATTTTATCTTTCAAATTGGATTTTGAAAAAAGTGGTTTCTATATGACAGGAGGGGAGGGGCTGAAAACTAAGAGGACTTGATGATGTCATCAGAATAAAAACTTGTTTCAGACACCAAGCAAACTCTTATGTTTTAATGAACAATTACAAAGTAAAGAAACAATTTATACCACTTGCCCGACTAGGCAAGTATAGGAAAAATCCTTAACATTGAGCCCTGAACGAGCAATGAATCATACACAATAATACCAGGAAAGTGCATTAAGAAAGTAAATTGGCTTTATGTTGACTTTAAACAACAATACAGCACCCCGTCAGTATCCATTCTTTCTCCGTGCCCTGTGGCACAGTGCTCTATACTTACAAACATGCGCAGATGGCGGGCACACACCAGACCAATGGAGCCATTCTGCTCAGGACCACAAACAACCAGCAGGGTGGGCTGCTTTTTACTCAGGGAGCTCAAAGGAAAAGCCTGGAAAGAGACAGAGGGAGAGAGCGAGACAGTTAAATAGGGAGGGAGACGTCTCATTTCGGTCCTATATGCATTTGGAGAGGTAATGTTCATTGCAATAACCCAGCAACAGTTGCAACAATAGTAAAGAGCCATGGAGACATTGCCACAGGATGCAGCCTTAAAATAACACACTTTCTGACAGGATTCTAAACTGGACCAGCACTGTTCAGATTTTCCGAAGCGTGTACACACTCACAAAACTAAGTCTTTAAAGGTGAGGCATGCAATTTCAATTACTAAACAGAATTTAATTGTTTTCAAATAGGTTTCCAACTGCTATTGGCCAGCCAAACAGATAGCCATGCCCCAAATGCACACCATTGGTTAAGCTGTTGCTATACCTGGCTGGTTTTGAAATATAAACAAACAGCAATGCTTTGATAGAACCACAGAGCAAGTTACACTCTTTAAGGAAATCAAACCACAAATGTTTTACTTATAGTCGTCTATACTTGATGAGTATCTTACCATAAAGATGACGTTTTGAACAGACTAATGAGTAAAAACAACAGTTAAGGTAATGTACATGTTATATCCATCTCCAATTAACCGGCGCTGAAATATGGATCGCGGCACAATCGTGGGTGTAATTGCAGACTTCTGAGAAAGAGAGGAAGCCAGACGCTAATGAAGCTAATGGCACTTTAGAGAGAAATTATCAGCTGACATGGATGTTCCATTAGCGAGCTGATGAAGTTTAGATTACATTATCATTGCTGGTCGTCTTAGTCACAATGCCGGGTGAACAAAAATTGAACGCGTGACTAAGTGTGGAAAATTAACGTCTGTCTCCATCTGTTGTCATTTTAAGGGGAATATAAGTAGGACATTTTCCTATTGGCCAAAAGTGAGCTTGTCAACGAAGTTGATTATAATGGGCAGTATCTGGGATTAACTAACTCAAAGTAGCAAAGCTGTTCACTATTTTCAGTGGTGTGACTATAGCTAAGCTGTTTTTTCAAATTTCTTAAAATTGGATTTTGAAAAGCAGTGACAGGAGGGGAGGAGCTAAAACTAAGAGGGCATGATGATGTCATCAGAAAGAAAACTCGTTTCAGAGGCGGGGCAAGCCATTACATTTGAATGAATTATTACAAAGTCTAACTTTTTTGTGCAATGAATCAAACACTGTACCAGGAAAGTAAATAGGCTTGATTAAGATATCATGTTGACTTTTCAAAATACTCCGACATAAACAATTCTCTGATTTGCACAACCCTGCACAGAAGTCCTTGTGTATTTTTTTTTTACAAAAAGTATTTTAACAAAATATTCTGTCAAATACGTTATTCGGCCACTTAAGTTTCAATGTTGCTTTCGAGACACTACTTATATTTGTGCTGTAGTTTTACTGCACTGTTTGCTAGCAGCATTGACATGGTTTTAGCTACATAAGTCGTCTCAATACGCTCCCTAGTTAAAGTAGTCCATTGCTCAGGAAACCCTTTCTATGGCTGTCCCATCATCAAACTCAAGTGCACTACAATATTCACTACCAAGAAATTCTCAAAATGCACAATAAAACCAGTCAGCTAGTGATAATGATAAACAAATTACTTCAGAAAGATATTGCTCATAGTGTTATTTAGCAGTATTCATGATAAATACCAGTTCCTGGGAATTGTGTTGCTGGTTATTAGTTTCTCAACATTTCACAGATTGAGTCCCTTGCTAGTGCTCAAAATCATATTCACGGTAAACTGAATTATGTCCAGAATAATTCCTGAAAGTTCAGCCTTGAGATATAGATGATCAATTTACATGAAGCTCGTGCGATTATGTGTTGTATGAAATAATATCCATTCTCTTTGTCTCTGTTCCGTCTGTTTCTTCTGCTCTGGAAAATGACATGGAATGGAGTGTTCCTGGGAGCTGTAGCCACTAGCCAGTGGATGCATTGTTCATTTCTTTTGCAGGTCTGCTGCAGCTGTGCTGGAATCCTCCGTTGTGTCAACTCCTGCCAGGACTCTGGAGACCGCCGCTCTGATCTGCTCCTGTTCGGAGCCACTGAACCCCTAGATTTCACTTCCATGCTTCCAGCAAATGAGCTCTCTAGAGAGGGTCTTGACTAATTGCTCTTGCACTCTTTTTTACCGTCAACTTGACACACATTAGCACCAGGGCTGTGTTTAATATAGAATCGAATTGAAAATGCCTTTTAAACTTAAATTAAAAGGAGGAATTTCAATAGGGATTTTGGAGTAATGAGATTTCAAAGCAGACGGGGCTCCTCAGAGTGGCACAGTGTTAGAATTTTTTTTAAACTAAATGAAAACATGTAATAAAATAAAAATGTATTCAAATAAAAACTATGTAACTGGACAAAAATAAAATAAAAATTAATGGTACCCATTCTTAATTTTGACAGGCCTTAAATACTATAACTACATATAATTCTTAATAAAAATAATAAATAAAATAAATAGAAAATACTGAAAACTAAACTAAATAGACTAATTAAAAATAAAACGCAAATCAAAGGTAAAATAAAAATGCAGAACTATAAATTGGAAATTAGAAATTTTTAATTGGAAAAAATCTTTATAAAAAAAAAGTCAATCATGTTTTCTATTCTCAAAATGCAATGATTTTCAAATCATACCAGTTATTAACAAAACACATTAACTTTAGGCCACATTAACAGGCCTAAAATACTAAAACTAGATAATTCTAAAAAAAAAAAAAAAAAAAAAAAAAAAAAAAAAAAAAAACAACAATGAGAGAAAACCAACAAAAACTAAATTAAAAGTCCAAAACTATAATAACTCTGGTGTGGTGCATCAGAAATCGCAGTCTGCTTGTCACAGTCATACTTGGTTAGGACACAGTTTAACCCAAACCCTAATCTACACTTGAAAGAAAACATTTAGCATTTTTAGAATAAAACTTTTTTTTTATTATTTTTATTGAAAGAAAAATTCATTTATTCTGCTTTATGTAGTCATGAGAAAATGAAGAGAAAATACAGAGATCACAGGCAGTGTTGTACGAGAGGGAACGTCAGTCTGCATTTTTCACTCAAAACACAAAGAACAATTCATGAGCCATGATGATAAAAATAACTTCCTAATGTCTAAAGCAGGGAATGATCACAGACATCAGCCTTGATGTAGCTCAACACCAAAACACTTATCCCCCCGATGTAGACAGATGACGTTGATTTTGGCATCCACTGCGGAGGATAGTTTGGTTGTGAAATCACAATGTGGTTAAATACAAGCAAGATTTTGTCCCCCTTGCACACACACACACACACAATCGTGCTGATGTAATGCTTGTCTCAGAGCTACCGGCCAGCGTGTTTTCTTTAGCTGCAATTTATGGCGACCTCTCAGAGGTCACAGCACAGGAAGTTTTGTTGATGCTAACTGTGGCAGCTGCTAGTGACCAGGAGCCTTGGAGGGGCGAAAGGTTCAATCTGTAAAACGCTTCTTAACATTCGCTTCTGAAAATTCACACAAGCCCAATCAGGAAACAATTTGGGGCTTTAACAGACTCACAGGTAGGTCAAGAGGAGCCTTGCGCTGCCTGTCAGCCTGACTGAATCCAGATGGAATGGTGACCGCAATAGTCTGGTTTGGGTTGGCCTGGCTCTTTCGCAACCCTCAGGCCGCCCTGAGACGTCAGGTCCCGAGACCGCCCGACTGCAGGCCGGCCACAGATGAAAGACTTTCAACAACTTCGGTGATGGTGCATTGGATCTGACACAAGGGATTTTTAAGGAGAACTCAAAGTGCAAATCTGAAGGAGAATGAATCTGACAGGTGGTGATTCTAGTGCTCAAGGCAAGATATAATATGACCCCCAAAAAACTTCCTTTTGTATAGAAGCCTGTTTCGGTCTCAATGTAAAAAAATATATATAATTATAATAATAAGATAATTGCTACTTTATTACTCATTATTGTGTCTCATTATTGATACGAGAAATAAGGTCACATTTATGAGAATCAAAATTGCAATGTTACTTTTTATAATATCAATAATCTCTCTGTGACTTCATAATTTTTAATTACAACTTTTTACGACATGCCGTACTTGCGACTATTTCTCTTAACTGCTAATTTTGACTTTATATATCACAATGTGACTTCATATTTCACAATTGCAACATTTTTCTCAGAACTTGCACTATTTCTCATAATTATGACTTTCTGTGACATGGTTTGTAATTGTTGTAAACATTTCTCAGAAATTGTGACTTTATATGTTAGTGTTACGTTATATTTCACAATTGCAACTTTTTCTTAAAACTGCACCTATTTCTCACAATTATGACCCAAATATGACATTTTGCGTAATTGCGATTATTTCTCATAACTGTACGTTTTTATCTCAAAAACTGTGACTACTCCTCACAATATGACTTCATATTTCATAATTGCAACTTTTCTCTCAGAATTTGCAGAATTTCTCAGAATGTTTCAACATAACTTTCTGCAACATCTCTTGTCATTGTGACTATTTCTCAAAATCACAAATTTATATTTCAAAAATTATGACTTTATATATCACAATGTGACTTCATATTTCACAACTGCAACTTTTATTTTAGAACTGCAACTATTTCTCATAATTATGACTCTTTGTATCTCATAAAACTCTTATTTCCATATTTATATCTCAAAAATGGTCTCACAATGTGGCATTTTACTCAGAACTGGAACTATTTCTCATAATTACAACTTTTTGCAAATTAATTTGCGACAATTTCTTGTAACTGTCTCTCAGAACAACTTCTCACAATCCCCCATGTCCCTTTGTTTCTCATATTGCAAATTTATGTCTTGTAATTGAGTTTTTAATTGACAATAACGTGTTGTAACAGAGTCTTGAGTTTTTATCTGACAATTACAACTTTGTCTAACAGACAGATGCATAATCTTTTGTTGTAGTTGTTGTCTATTTTAAAAGCAAAAGTGCCAGATTGCTAATCTGGATCATTCTTTAACCCCTTTTCATGAGAAACCCCCCCCAGAGCAGCAGATGCAGTCAAACCCTTTACAGAAACAGTGAGATCAAAGATGTCCCGCTGTTTTCATCATCAAATACAGCAGGGCCTCGTCTCTTAAGAGGATTGGTTGAAGTTCGGCAAATGCTGACAGATGCTGGGAGCGGTAAATGCAGAGAGTTGTGTATATCACAGTGATGCTTGTGCATAGCAAATACAGGATTGGATTCAGAATTCAGATGTGTTGACGGCCAATTCACACTAGTGTAATTCATGTTCACGTGTCAGACAAACCTTTGTGACAGCAATAGCGCAAGCATGTCCCCATATTTCAATCAGTTGCTGCTGCCCAAAGCGATAGTCCCTCAGGAGCTCCGTCTCAATGGTCGCCACCTCCGTTTTACTATAAAAGACAAGACAAAGAGACAAATTGCATTGACACAGAGCTCATGACTTGCATGGTATTAGCTTACAAGTGGGGACGATAAATAAATCATGCAATATGTTTTGACATGAATGCTAACAAGTGCCAAGATGGAAACTGGGTGGGTTTGATTACATGGAAACCAAGGACTGCAATACAGCACCTGACGTTTATGTGTGTGTTCTGAGCACATTGTATGAGACATGCCATCCATTCCAGGCATGGTGTCTCGCTGCCTAATGCCTGTTTAGCCACACTCAGAGCTTATGTTACTGAGAGTTTAATGTGGGCTACAGGGAGCACAACGTAACTATAAAATACAGGCCCTTACTTCACGACTCAAACACGAGGAGCCTTTCAATAACCTACTGTATGCTCGTAACATCCGAGCCCCCTGCTGGAAGTACAAAGAACTGCTATCAGGATGCTGATACTAAATTACAACCCTAATATCCCAAAGATTAATGTATTATGAATGAACATGAATTACTGAACAACAAAGCATATTGAAATTAATCTTGATATGTTATGCTAATAAATGCTGTAAAAACTAATTCCCCTGTGGTATATACATCCCTATACAGCTGCTTATTATTATATTTTCAACATAAGAAAGCTTTTAGGCTGCTTATATTTTCAACATAACAAAGGTAATAAAGTGTTAGGGGACCAAACCAGACCAAAAAAAATTAATTAAACTAACTAAAATAAGTTGAATTACAAAAATTACTGAGTAAAATAAAAATAAAGCTACATAGAAATATAAAAAAAACTAATACAAATTACACAAGCACATAATAATAATAATATGACTAAAACTTTCAAATGAAAAATAAAAAATAAAAGCTAATTCACGATATTAACAATAGTGCTGTAGTATAGAATAAGTTTAGCACAGTTTAATAGTACTATAATTTGTTTTAGATACCTTTCTTTCTTTTGTAACTTGATTTATTGTTGTTTTTCAGCCCGAGGCATTTTTCCAGTATGTTTCCAAGACAACAGGTTCACGTGTGTTGTGTTTGTTGTCTCTTATTGCTTTAGGCAGCAGAAGAACAGAACAAAGAACCATTTATGAAAATGATGAAACATTATTGAGTTCTCTCAACTGTATGCATGAAGTTCCCTGCCTGAGTGCGGCATTTTTCATTTCAATTAAAGCAATTTTCTGTCACTATCTAGTTCAGAAAAAGTAATAATGAGTAATAATTTACTAACAAAAAATAATGAGCTTGGCTGTATGTTTTTGACATTTAGATAGATAGATAGATCACAATCAGCCCACTGAGAGAAAGACAGTGAGAGTGAGACAGACAGACAGACAGACAGACAGACAGACAGACAGACAGAAAGTCTATATCAGTCATATTTTTGGCATTGGTCAACAGGTCAGGTCACCAAGCTTTTACTCGGCTCTGATCATTGCCGTAACCCTCAACAAGGGGTGCTCCAGCTTTCTGGCATTTACCGTCTCCAATAGAGCTCCAGAGCCGTCAAGCTGAGTTTGCAGGAGGAGATTTCCTGGCGTACTGTGACACAGTGATATTTATAAAGTTCAGCCGAGTCTAGCGCTTTTGATATTTCTGTTCCCATCAACCTATTCAGGGAACTCCTGACAGCCGTATATTTCCAAAGTTCTCCAAAAGGTTCCAGGCACAAGATAAAGTACAGACATCTCAATTCTCATCCTTGTAAGGTTTCCAGTATGTAGAAATAGTTTTTGGCCTGCAAAGAAATCTTCCTTCACTTAATATCTCTCAAGCATTAAAACAAGTTCAATGCATCCCTGAGTCTTCAGTTAGGCTTCTTTGTAGTAAACTGCAATGAATGAATCTCACCACCAGGGGACAGCGTGACTCAGACTGTTCTCCTAGCATCCAGATCACCCAGCAGTCCAAATTGCATTATATTATTAGGTCTCTTAACCACAGAAGAACCATTTTTGATTCCTCAAAGAATCTTTCCGTAAACAGTTCTTCATATTCTTTTCTTAGTGTGAATAACATTTTAAAAATCTAAAGAGCTTTTTTTTTTTTAATAAAGAATCTTTATGCAATGGACAGTATCTAACACTTACAAATGTACTTTCCAAAAGGGGGGTTTCACAGTGATTCTATACAAGAACCATTTTTGGTTGCCCAATTCAGGACAGAAAGTCTATATCAGTCATATTTTTGGCATTGGTCAACAGGTCAGGTCACCAAGCTTTTACTCGGCTCTGATCATTGCCGTAACCCTCAACAAGGGGTGCTCCAGCTTTCTGGCATTTACCGTCTCCAATAGAGCTCCAGAGCCGTCAAGCTGAGTTTGCAGGAGGAGATTTCCTGGCGTACTGTGACACAGTGATATTTATAAAGTTCAGCCGAGTCTAGCGCTTTTGATATTTCTGTTCCCATCAACCTATTCAGGGAACTCCTGACAGCCGTATATTTCCAAAGTTCTCCAAAAGGTTCCAGGCACAAGATAAAGTACAGACATCTCAATTCTCATCCTTGTAAGGTTTCCAGTATGTAGAAATAGTTTTTGGCCTGCAAAGAAATCTTCCTTCACTTAATATCTCTCAAGCATTAAAACAAGTTCAATGCATCCCTGAGTCTTCAGTTAGGCTTCTTTGTAGTAAACTGCAATGAATGAATCTCACCACCAGGGGACAGCGTGACTCAGACTGTTCTCCTAGCATCCAGATCACCCAGCAGTCCAAATTGCATTATATTATTAGGTCTCTTAACCACAGAAGAACCATTTTTGATTCCTCAAAGAATCTTTCCGTAAACAGTTCTTCATATTCTTTTCTTAGTGTGAATAACATTTTAAAAATCTAAAGAGCTTTTTTTTTTTTAATAAAGAATCTTTATGCAATGGACAGTATCTAACACTTACAAATGTACTTTCCAAAAGGGGGGTTTCACAGTGATTCTATACAAGAACCATTTTTGGTTGCCCAATTCAGTGAATAGCACTTAAAACCATTTTCTCTTAGTATGAAGAGCATTTTAATAATCTAATCTAAAGAATATTTTTCTACTTTAAAGAACCTTTTGTGCGATGGAAAGTTTCTACACTCTTAAAAATAAAGGTTCCAAAAGGAGGCTTTGCAGCAACGCCACTGAAGAACCATTTTGGGTTCCCAAAAGAACCTTGGGTGAACAGTTCTTAAAAGAACGCTATTTTTCTTAGTGTGAGGAATATTAAAAAAAAAAATCTAAAGAGCCTTTTGTGAAATGGAAAGTTTCCATGGATGTTAAAGGTTCTTCATAGAACCATTGAACCAAAGACCCTTTATTTTTAAAATGGTATACTCTTAAAATTAAGGTTCTAAAAGGGGGGTTTCACAAACAATGCCATAGAAGAACCATTTTTGGTTCCCCAAAGAAACTTTCAATAAATGGTTCAATTTTTTCTTAGTTTGAAGAGCATTTTAATAATCTAAAGAAACTTTTTCCACTGTAAAGAAGCTTTACTGGAATGGAAAGGGATGTTAAAAGTTCTTCATGGAACCATCAATGCCAATAAAAAAAACTTTATTTTTTAAGAGTGCAAAGCCTATTTGTAACAGAGGCCCTGAAAATGACAATAGGTTTGCGTTAGTATCTCCCCCAGCATTGCTATTCCATAGAGCTAGGGATAATTGTTGCTGATCACCCCTTACAGCAAATACACACATGAATGCACAGTCAAATGAACAACAGTATCAGCCCAGGCCCCCGCCTCGAGAGTCTTCCTAATTTCCCCACGAGGAGCCTATCTGTGAGTTGCGAATTGTGCTGATCAGCTGTAATGACAACTCGGCTACAGAGGTTGTTTACCTCCAGTATGCTAGCTTGCTTAACACGCAGCATTGTTGAAATGGTTTTGCCTGATTGCAAGGGGATACACGGACGTTTGTGTTAGGCATAGAACAAAATGGGGGATACTTCTCAATATCCAAATTTTTCCTCTTTTACTTCATTTCCAACCACTGTAATTACCTCAGCACACCACGAGACATCTAAATAACCACCTCTCTCATTTAAATCAGTGGGCTTGTTTTAGGGGACCAGCCACTTCTGTCAAGAATCTGGTTTACAACCCAATATTCTCATGGCCGATTTAACAAAGGAAATGAGAGGGTTCAAATTATATAAAAGAAAAATAATGACAATGGAGAACAGGAGAGTACACTGCTATTTGCATAACTGCCAAACTTAGCGCACGGCCCCTTGAGGCTCCAAATAATGTGATAGACGAAGGGGTTATAGACGGGGGGTGGATAGCCTTTTCGGCATGGCTGACATCTGCTAATTTATTCGAAACAAAATCATTTTCACACAGTGTCACATGCACTCTTTAATGACAGATGATGAATATGTGCCCTGGTGTGAATGCTGCTATGAGAATTTGCTTGCAATTTAATGTAACATTTGAAAAAAATTTGAAAAATGGTGTAAGGGTCACTCCACAATTGCGGTGGAATTTCTGTCTGAATTTTATATATTTTTTTAATAAAACGAATAAATCACACATGAAACCTACTGTTACATTAATTATTTTATTGTTAAAATACATGTAGAATTATATAAACACGAAGATAAATAAAAAAAAAGTAAAAAATAAAGATTACTGACAATGCTATATGTAAAAAAAAAATACAACAAATAATAATAAATAAAAGACAAACAAATGATATATATATATATATATATATATATATATATATACTGTATATATAATGTAAAAGCTAGCTGTATTTCAGTTAACTTTTATTTTATTTTAGGTTAACGATTACAGCACCGATTTTTGACATTTGAAAGTGACCAACAGCATCTGTCATCGCAATTACAGAAAGACTCTTATAGCAATCTCAAGATTATAATCATAAACAGCAAGTACAGTGGTTACTCAATCTGAAGTTTCAACTGATTCATGGAAAGGGAAGCGAAAAACAATATCTAATGATGTTGAAAATCCAGGAGCTGAACTCTCGAGTTACTCTTAAAGCA